CTGACTTCCCTCTTCCTTGCGGAACCCACATCACGATAAGTGGTGACCAGCCAGTAGCAAAGGGGACAGTGGAAAGATTCTGGAATTCCCCCAACTCGGAGCCCTGTGTGCGGTGGGCCTGCTCCATCCCTCCCAAGTCAGCATCCCCCCAGGGGTGCGGGTCCTCAAAGACGCCCTCCTGCTTCCCTGCCTTGTGTTTCCATGTGGCATGGCCAGTCCCTCAGGAGACAAGCCCCTGAAGGCCTTCTAAACCAAGAGAATTCATTTCAGAGAGTGGTCACTTGGCGATGGGAGAGCTGAGAAGCCTGGGGACAGTGAAGCAGCAGCAGGAAGCTGCCACCACTCCCAGGGCTGAATGACTGTGGGAGGAAAGGATGCTACCCAAACCGGGAAGTCAGGGCATCCGGAGGGATCTCAGCTGGGCTGCCCAGGGGAGCTGGATGTCGGGAGGCAGACAGCGGGCACCATCTTGGTTTCTCCCTTTCTTCCCACCTTCTAGACTCTCCCCACTGCCTCCCATCAGCTGACCCTGCCAGGGAGCCAGACGGAGGAGAGCTGGAAATGTGCTGCTTTGGTGCAGAGCAGGAGAAGGACCGGCGGCCAGGCCCAGGGTGAGGTAGGCCCACCCTCGCCCCTGCCTCTGTGCACTGTCCCCACTTGGCCCTTGGGAGGTGGGAGTCTTTCCCGTGGAGGCAGGGTCAGCCCAGGCCAGCTGTGGGAGCAAGAGAAGGCAGCATCCCAAGTGTCAGGCAGCCGATGTGTCCAAGACCAAGCAGCTGCTGACGAGGGAAGTCATCCTGTTTGCAGGACACTCCTGTGGAGGCAAGCCGGCTTCAAGGCCCTCAGGGAGATGGGGCTGGGGTTTGGGACCAAGTCAAAGCCTATGAGGAAGGGGAGGGGCGGAGCGCCCTGGCTCCTTTACAGGGCTGGCCCCTCTGGCTGGGAATGCAGCACAGACTTCATTCCAATCTCTGCTCTGTACGCTGGGCAGAACTGGAGCTGCATGTGGGAGCTTGAGGTGGCCAGAGGCGGATGTGGCTAAGTCTGAATGCCTGAGGTCCCGCCTCCAGCTTGGGCTCTGCAACAGTCGGGGATCAGGGACTCACGTGTGTCCTCGTGACACAAAGAGAGAGCCAGGGGTCGGGGCAGTGCCCTAACTCCTACACCTGCCAGTCTCTCTCATTAAGAAAGCCAGGCCAGGCTGGAGACTGAGCCCTCCAGCAGACAATGAGGCCATCGCATTGTTCTGTTTTGTTATATTCCAGTTTTCTATTCTACGTGCAGCAAGTGACGCTGAATCCCATTTACTTTGGTGATTATATTTAATATGTAATGCAACCTTTGAAAATATACTGATTGAAGTAACAAAAGCTAATTTAAAATAAAATGCAAAGTACAAGAAGGTGGAAAAACTATAAGGTTGACCTAAGAATGACCAGAGTTTAGAAGCGAGTTAAGTATCTAAATGTCTAGATGTGGTCCCATGGGAGGGTGGGTCCCGTGAACTTGCAGAGTGAGAGAGACAGGGGGGTGGAGGGAAGCGCCACTGGAGGGGGGTGATCGCTCGGCTCCACCATTTCTGGTTTTCCCTGTTTCCTCATTTGGGGCTCAGGTCTGCAGGCTGCCTGCCTTCCTCCCCTCTCCTTCCTTTCCCTGCTCCTGACCAGCGGCACACCAGCCTCTGGCGTTCCTCAGAGCAGGGGGCTCTGGAGGGTGGCTGCCGACCTGTGAAGGGCCCTGCCGGGCTCCAAAATGAGCTTGGAGTTTAAATCGGAGTCCTATGGACATTGTCCAGATTTGGTGGCCGTACATTTCTAGCATCGCCACTGCAACTAAATAGTTAGGCAGAATCGCATTTTGTCTACCAGGACACATCATAACCCTTAGCATCCTGACTTCCTGCTGAGAGTAGTACAGATAGGTATTTTGGACTCGCTCAGGACATGGCTGGAGCCCCAGGTCAGCAACGGTCCTGGGACCCCAGGCAGGGTCCACCGTGGAGGCTTCATGTGCGACAGGTTCCTATCTGTCCAGCTGGTGACCTGAGAACATGGCCAGAGCACTGTTGCGGACTTTGCTTCTAGGAGGGGCAGTGGTGACGGGACCAAGGATTCGAGCAGGGGTAAAGAGGCAGAGGAAGAGGGTGATTTGGGGCCCAAATAGGAAGCTCAGGGCTAAATGCTCTGGAGGACTCTGACCCTCATCCAGGCCTGCCTTACACTGCAGGACTGGCAGGCTGATGCCCTATGGCTGAGCTGGGGAAGCTGATCCCCCGCCAGGCACCGAGGCTCTAGGAACTCCTCAACCCCGTAGAATAGGCAGTAATGAACAGACCACCTGCCAAATCTGTGAGACAAATCTAAAGAGGTATTCCGAGGAAAATGTATAGCTTTAGGTGTATCATAAAGGAGAGAGAGAGAGATGCACATTCAACTGAAGTGTTTTTTGAGACACAATGCTATTCCACACTTAATAGACTACAGTATTGTGGAGACATAACTGTTACGTGCATTAGGAAACCAAAAATGCACGTGACTGGCGTTATTGTGATACTCACTATTTTAGTCATCTGGCACCAAACGAACAGTATCTCTGAGGCATGCCTATGCAGAATATTCTGTCCAACAACTGCAGATCATTTTTAAGTACACAAAAGCATTTACTAACATCCACCATATCCAGGGCCAAAAGCCAACAGTCAACACATTTCAAGAATTAATTTGAGAGACCACAGACCTAAACATGAAAGGTAACACAATAAACCTCCAAGACAAAAACGTATGAGAATATGCAATGACTTTGGAGTAGACAAAGAATTAATTAAACAGGTTTCCAAAGCACTAATCAAAAGAGAAAATAATGATAAATTGGATCTCCATAAAATTAAGAACGTCTGTTAATCAGTAGACACCATTTTAAAAGTAAAAAAGAAAGCCACACAGAAGATATAAGCAATACTTGTATCTGACAAAAGGCTTATCTGTAGAATACATAAGTAACTTTTATAAACACACACACACATACAACACAGCCCTAACCAATGGGAAAAAGTGGGGAAAAGTCTGGGACAGTCACTTCACAAAACAGGATATGCAAATGGTCAGGTGATCTATCCTAGTCCCCCCACTAAGAAAACAGTTGTGAAATATATTGTTAGGGCAACTGGGAATATTCAGACGTGTTCTGAATATTGGGTATTAGGAGACAGTTCATTTGTGAGGTTATGATGATGACAATGGTAACGTGGGAAAATGCACAAGGAAATGTCAGACATCTGTAATTTACTTTGAAACGGTTTAACAGATCAATAGGGAGATGACAGACAGAGAAAGATGGACGGGTAGATTAGAGATACAGGTTACACCATTTGTAAGTATATTTGTGTGTGTGAATAGAAAGAGAGAAATGAAACAAATATTGCAAAATAGTAGCAACTGTATCAAGATGGAGGGTATACGAGAATCCATTCTTCCTGTTACTCCTTACCACCGAAATTCTTCAAACACAAATGTGAAAACAAAGAGAAAAGGAGCCGGAGCGCTGCACAGCACTAGGTGGTCAAGTTCTGTGCCGTCCCTGTCCCTGCTGCCAGGCTGCTCTGCTGCAGGGCCTAACAGCCGGCGGGGGACAGCTGGGGGGGACAACCGCGCTTCTCTGTGTTTGTCATGCCTGGTGGAGCCAGGCCTACGGGGGACTTTAGCACCACAGAGGGGCTCCCAAACTTGGTCCGGGCTGGTCCTTGGGACACTGAGGGAGGCGATGGACCAGCAGCCCAGCCACCTGAGGCTACCTCCACCCTCTGCAACCTCCTGGGGGCCAGGTGCGTGTGCACCTGTCATCAGCAGTCTCTTAGATTTGTCCAGAGTTTTGCAATCAGTGTCAACAGAGAAAGGCATCTTTACAGTCCAAGAGAGCCTCAGTCTGAGTAAAAGCCGTCTGCATCCCCCGCTTAGAGAAAGTGTCACCCGGAACACAACGCCTAGAGCGAAGCCCTGAAGAGCAGAACGGGGTGATCTCCATGCTTGAGGAAGAAACGGTTTCCCGATTTCGCAGGCTGAGGATTGAACAGAGTGGACAAAGGCCCAGTGCATGTGGCCCCCCTGTCTGAAGAGCTCACCTCCCTCCCTCCCTCCCGCCGCACTCACCCGCCCCTCCAGCCGAGGATCGCCCACGCGGCCCCTCCCTCCACACCCTCTGGAAGCGGCACAGACACCCCACGGTAGGCTGGACGTGCCGCCACCTGCAGATCCTGGGAACAGAGCTGGGTTCTTCAAGGTTAATTCAAACTTCTACCAGATCAATTATTTCAAATTCCAAAACTATACCAAGAAACTTGGGAATTTCTTTTTGTCCTTTTAAAACATATTTTTACTGATCTCTCTTTCGGGATCAGTATAAGAAATACTGCTACTTAAGAGATTCAGATTTTGTTCAAAGTGCTGCGCAATGAAACTGTACTTTTCGGGGCAGGGTGCACACTATTACTATATGGATATTATAAGTGAGTAACTTCCATAATAACGTTCTAGCCGTATTATATAAGCATTGTTTTTACTTTAAGTAGTAGTCTGTTATAACAGCAACAGTGAGTGGCATAGTAATTGGAATATTATAAGGAGATCTACATGAGACATTTAAAACCACAAAGATGATTCTGGTTTGTCTGGAGCTGTAAGAAAATAAACAGAAAACGTACTTAATTTGCCTCTTAATGGCGATTGTTTAAAAAGATACAAAAATAAAAAATCACATATCATTACCATAGGATGCATTTACAGGGGTATATTTAGAGGGAAATTTATAGCATTAAAAATTTAGATTATAAAATAAAGGCTAAAAATGAATTGAGTATCATCTTTAAGAAATTATAACACGAACAATAAGCTCACAACAAATAAAGACATCAGGAGACACTTCAGAAGATGCAAGGGAGAATCCCTGAGTGAGCAGTGGGTTGTAATGAAACAGACAAGTCTATGGTAAGATTTCTCTTTCTTCCTTTCTTCCTTTAATATATACAAATTAGGAAAGAAACGTGGGATACAGCAGATAATCACGATGAAAACCCTCTGGGCAGAGGGCACAGTAGCGCTCACTGGATTCCACAGGTCCCTAAGTGCTAGAACGGGTGGCACTCAAGGACACATCAGAGCTCGAAGAGGCGGCGGCAGGCCCTGCAGGGCGGCCGGGGGGAGCGGGGGCACCGGGGATTGGGCTGAGGGTCCGAGCTGGGGGAAGGGGGCAGAGGTCGGAGTTCTGGGCTGGAGGACGGCGCAGGTGCCCAAATGCTGAACCTGGAGGCCCACTCTGATGGAGGGGCCTGGCACTTCTTCAAGGGAGAAGCTCCTCTGGACACGACCCCCACTGGAGCAGGGAAGGCTGAGTTGGTTGGAGTCTGCCATCCCACCTGGGTACATTGGCCAGGGGCGTCCCTGCTCAGAGCTGGAGGGCCGGAGGAGTACAGGGGCGGGGGTCCTACGAAGTAAGGCAATACACTGGAGGCCATGGTGGCCCAGTGCTGGCCTCCCATGCGGGAATCAAAGCTGGAGACGCCCCAAGGCCAGACTGAAGGTGCTGAGGCAGCTGGAGGGGGATGCCCCACCCAGAGATCACCACGATAGGGGGCCCACATGTAAGTCCAAGTGGCTGGGCACCCCATCCAGGAGTGGATGACACAGGGGGTCCTCACGACAGGCCAGCAGGCTGCGTCAGTTACAGGCTGGGCTCCCGCACAGGCAGAGAAGCCATAGACAGAGCCCACAGGCGCCCAGGGGTGTGGGGCAGGCCGAGTCAGGTGGGCTTCCTTAGCGGTCAGGGATGCACCATGGGGGTTCTGCACCGCTTGTTCCTTAGATGCACTTGCCCCCATCTTAGCTGGGGACTGCTCCCCAAAACCGAGATATGCCCTGCAAGCACAGTCCCCTCTGGGCTGATTCCACACGGCGCCCGCAGGTGGCTCCTTGGTATCTGCAAGGTGAGCAGATGGAGGGTTAGAGACGGGGCAGGGAGAAGGGGTTCGGAGGGGGTTGGAGGAGAGGAAAAGTTAGGGGTGCGGAGACAGAAGAGCCAAGTTCAAAGCACTTTGGGGAGGATGAGGAGAGAAGGAGTGTTACCACTGGAACCATAAGTGACCCTGTGCAAGACGAGGGGTGCGTGGCATCTACATGAGGCCTTATCTTGGACATCAAACCAGAAGTTCCCGGGGCCAGCCCGGTGGTGCAGTAGTTAAGTTAGCACATTCTGCTTCTGTGACCTGGGGTTCACCGGATCAGATGCCGGGTGAGGACCTACACACTGCTTGTCAAGCCATGCTGTGGCAGGCGTCCCACATATAAAGTAGAGGGGGATGGGCACGGATGTTGGCTTAGGGCTAGTCTTCCTCAGAAAGGAAACAAAGCAGAAGTTCCGAATTCAGTCTCATGACTCCACGCTATGCGGTCACGGAGAACACTAATGGCCAGACTCATGGATAGCTGGCACAGAGTAAGAATTAAAAGGTTACACAAAGTCCCAAAATTGATTGGTAAAGAGAACAGCAAAGTCAGAAATACACAGAAGACCACCAGAAAGTGGGGTCCACTGAGAGAGTTCCTGAAGAATTCCAGTCATGGCCCCATCCGCCCGCCACCTCCTCCCCACAAGGCAGGATCTCCCCTCAGAGCCTCCTCTGAAGGGTTCAGTGCCCATGAACTTGAGCCCTGACTCCTGGTTTTCTCCTGGAATGTTCTGAACAGCACGATCGGCAGCCACATCCAGCACCACGAGGAAATGGTGTAAAGAAAGTAAAGAGACGGTCGAGGGGCCCCACGGCAGGAGGGGACACTCCAGCAGTAGCAGGTATTTCTTCACATAACAAGGGTCCCCTAGAGGAATTTCCTTGCAGTTTGGAGATGTTTCTGAAATAAGAACTGGTGCCCAGGAGGGGCTGGGCTGTCTGGCGTGGCGTGACCTGCTTGATGAGGATTTGGCATAGAGTAGAGAGATGGTCAAGGGACGGTGCTAAGGGAAGACACACCCAGCCCCCGGGATCTCAAGGAACAGAGGCTGGTGTGCTCAGGGTTCCTGGAGCTCCGAGGGGCCCAGGCAGCAGCGAGAGGCAGGCTGAAGCACGGCTGACTGGCAACACCCCACAAGCACCAGCCGGTTGAACAAAAGGATCCCGTGCGAGAAAGAAAGCAGTCAGGCCTCTGGGCGTCCTGTCAGCAGGGCCGTGGGAGCCAGGAGCTGAGCAGAGCCGGAGCAGGTGAGAACTCTGGACAGGAGGCCTCTCGGAGTGCAGGGCTGAGCAGGGAGGGCTTCCCGGAAGGGGCAGAGGCAGATCATGAAGGTCCCTATAAACGCCCACCGGGGCCTTCAGGTACTGAGGACAGTGGGAACCCTTTGAGACTTTGAAACAGAGAAGTGGTGGGACCAGTTTCATACTCTAGAAGCCTCTCTAAATCAGAGTGGACCACAGATGGGAACTGCAGGCCCAGGGAAGGAAGACAAGCTAGGAGATGCGACAGCAATTGAGGGCAGTGGTACCGGAATGAGCCAGATGGGGGACGCCAGAGGGAGAGAGGTGGGCCTTGCCAAGACCCATTGGTCCAAGACCCGCTCGGGAGGCAGAGGTGACAGAGCGGGTCATTTATAGTGTAAAAAGTGTCCCACTTCACTCATGTTTAAAAAGTCAAATTTCAAAAGGAATGGAACTTTGATTTTTACCATTAATCTGATCAAGAATAAAGCCTTCCGCTGGTATTTGAAAGGCTAAGGAGAAAAGCCCGCGCGGAGTCCTGTCGGAGGAGCGAACATCCTTTACTCTCTGGGGTTCCCGGCTGTGACTAACCGAACGTGAAATCCGCGTCCTGACCCACCGAGCCCCCTTCTAGGACCCAGACACCCTGGGTGTGTCTCGGGTGAGAATTCACATTGACTTCATCTGAGACCCTTGGGGAGGGCATGGGGGCGAAATGATTGGGGCGGGGGTCTCCGGGGCAGATCCGCAGGGAAACACGTTGACGTCGGAGCCCGGCGGCCCGGGAGGCCCAGCCCCCAGCTCCCTGGAGGCCAGCGGCCGAGGAAGCGGAACCGGGCCGCGGCGGGGGCTCTGCTCCCTGCTGGTTCGGGCGAGCCAGGGCACAGGTCGGAGGGAGCTGTCGCGTAAGGGTGGAGGGTGGGGAGGAAACTTCTAGGCCTGCTTACAGCTGAGTACGAGGGAAGGGATGGGGATGGAAGAGGGGAGATGGCGGGGCGGGGCGAGGCCTGCGGCCGTCCCAGCGAAGACTGACGCTCTGCGCCCGCGCCAGTTGGCTCCACTTGTTCTGTATCGCAATATACTCACTTGATTTCCGTACAGATTCCTTCCAGCGAAGTCCAGGAACACGTGAGGCTGTGGCAGTAGCGCTGAGATGGTCTCGAAGAGGTCGGGGGGGCCCCGAGGCGGCGCCGCAGCCCCAGGTCAGGCGCCCTGCACGCCACGGATGCGCCGACGGCAGGACGAGAACCAGGCGGGTGGCGCCTCCTGGGCGCTGCGGCTCCGCGCGCTCTTTTATGGACTGTGCGCGGGGGCGGGGCGGGCGGCGTCTCCAGGGTGCGGTCCTAGAGGGGCGTCGAGGGCGGCTTGATTGGGTCATCTGCTTATCCCCCAGATGAAGGTATAACTCAACTGAATTAAGGGCTAGCCCGAGAGGGGCGGGGGTGTTCCCAGGGTGTGAAAATGACCTCATCCTCGGGTGAGGGATCAGGGTGGGTTCCCGGAGGAGGTGGCTTTGAGCTGAATCCAGGAGGCCTCAGGTGCGTTGGGGAGTGGGGGCAGCTGCGGAGAGAGGGAACAGAAGATGCAAAGGCACAGAGAGCACCCCAGGGAGGCCAGAGCATAGGCAAGATGTGGAGGAAGATCGAGCCAGACAGCCGGTGGCTGCGCTTTCCGGGGTCTTGTGAATGGGGCTGGAGATGTGTGTCTCCGACCAGGAGCAGTGGGAGCCTTTGCAGACTTTCAAAAATTATTTTATTGAGGTCACATTAGTTTATAACATTGCGTAAATTTCAATGTACATTATTGTATATCAGTTTCTGTATAGATACGTCATGTTCACCACCCACAGTCTAGTTTCCATCCCTCACCATACATATGTGCCCCTTTACCCCTTTTGCCCTACCTCCACTCCCTTCCCCTCTGGTAGCCACCAGTCTATTCTCCTTATCTCTGTGTTCGTTTATCTTCCACATCTGAGTGAAATCATACGGTGTTTGTCTTTCTCTGTCTGACTTACTTCACTCGGCATAATACCCTAATTCAAAAAGATGCATGCACCCCTATGTTCACTGCAGCATTATTCACAATAGCCAAGACTTGGAAGCAGCCCAGTGCCCATCAATGGATGAATGGGTAAAGAAGATGTAGTATATATACACACTGGAATACTACTACTCAGCCATAAAAAAAAAGATGAAATTGTGCGACTTGCAGTAACAGGGATGGGCCTTGAGGGTATTAAGCAGACGTTTAGTCAGAAGCCTGCTGTGCTCAGCAGGGGCTGATCCAGGGTTTGACTGTTCTGAAGCTGATCCAATCAGGGCCGTCCCCTAGGACAAGAATTCAAACGTTCGGAATGCACATGCTCTGTTGGATACACTCATTTAGGAATTTGCATAATAATCCCCATAATTTCTAATGTTTAATGAGAGTTTGCTCTGTGCCAGGTTCTGTTCTGAAAGCTTCATCTGTATTAAGTGGGGTTTTTTTCCTTTTTTAAAAAAATTTTTCTAGGGAAGATTAGCCCTGAGCTAACATCCACTACCAATCCTCCTCTTTTTGCTGAGGAAGACTGGCCCTGAGCCGACATCCATACCCATCTTCCTCTACTTTATATGTGGGACGCCTGCCACAGTAGTGTGTAGGTCCGCACCGGGGATCCTAACTGGTGAACCCCAGGCCACCAAAGTCGAACTTGCGAACTTAACTGCTATGCCACTGGGCCCACCCCCTGTTTTAACTGTTTCAATCTGCGTGTCACTCTGTGAGATCCACCGTAGACAACTAGTGGGATCCAGAAAATCCAATTACTTAAAATGTGGGGCTACATTTTTTTATGAGCTTAATATAAATTCCATGAGGTCACAAGAAGCCCCAAAGTAAGTGTAGTAAAATGTATGCAGGTCACCACTGATCCTCCCAAATGGTCAGGAGCTGTCACTCTGAGGACTCTGTTAGGACTGGGGCTGACATGAGCTCCGGCTCTGTTACTGCCCCCATTTAAGGATGAGGCTACCTCCCTGGTAAGGGTGTAGATTTGCACCGTGGTTATGTGTTCCAGTTTCCACACTTCTAGTCATAACACCATATGGTTTGTGTGCACACAAAAACTTATATAAATGCAAGCTTTTTACATGCCTTGTTCACATCCTTTATATCCTGTACAAAATGCCACAGCCTCGTCAAGCAGCCCTCTCTCAGAGCTTCCCTGTCCTTGCAGGCCCAGAAATGGCAAGGACCCCCATTGTCCATAGTCCTGGTGTGCTTTCCCATTCCTTCTTGGTTTTCTTACCTCCTCCTAGGCCTCTGAAAATAGTTCATTCATTAAACAGTAAACATTCTTCAGTGAACCATTTGAATGTTTCACACAGGCACCTTGACTGATACGCTTTCCTTGATTCTTCAAAATGGTGTTAGGTGTGAATTATTTCTTGTCTGATACCATCGTTACCATACAAGCTTTTGTTTAGTCGCCAGTATTACATGTCAGTATTTATCTTTCAGTAAATAATTTTATCCATTCGTGTTTGCTTACCTTAAATTAGTGAGTCAATAGCTATATTCTCCCTCCAAGGAAACAAGATTCCTAGCACCATTTTTGTGTTATCCTCTCATATATCCCTAATATCCTATACTGATGTTTGGAATCTTAGCTTGATCTTGATATATAATTTTTTTTATTGAGTTATTGATAGGTTACAATCTTGTGAAATTTCAATTGTACATT